AGTTTTGAGTAGTCAATGAAGAGGAGATAGAGGTATCACATTCTTCAGTTTGTTTAGTATGTTTTAAATATAACTGGCACCCTAGACCTGTTTGTCAGCCAAATACTATAGTAACACCTCCAGACCTGCCAGTACTAAGTATAATATTAATAATATCTGAAATAAAGCTCCAGCATGTTATAAAAGCAGTAGCTGTACACAAACACTCATCACTGGTAACCTACAGTAAAAGGATTGTTCAGTATTAGTTCTATACAGCAAGTCAAGACAAGATGGATTCCTGTTCTTATTTTAAGCTGATAGGATGCTTCATTCTTATTAGCATTGCTACTGCACAGGAAACACAAGCTACATGTAAGTCATGACATGAATAATAATAGAATATGACTATTTGTTAATGTAGCTTGTCCCCCTCGTGATTGTCAGGAGGTATATGAACGTGGTAACACATGCAGTGGAGTATATACTGTAAAACCTGATCATCTACCAGCCTTTGAGGTAAATATAATATTAATATTACCGTATAGCGCTTTATTCTGGCAATTTTGCTGTAAAAATTAATTGACGGTTTTGGATTTGGTGATTTTTGTGCACACATGCATTGCTGAGCATGCGCATTAATGATTGGCGGTTTTAATATGGGCGATTTTGCTTGGAAACTGCCAATCGCCAAAATAAAAATCTGCCAACTTTTCCCGCTATATGGTATCTGTATTAAAATCACTATATTCTATAGGTTTATTGTGATATGAGTAATGGAGGTGGATGGTCTGTATTTCAAAGGAGAATGGATGGTTCTGTTGACTTCTACCGCAACTGGACTGACTATGTTAAAGGATTTGGAGACCTCAATGGAGAGTTCTGGCTAGGACTTCATAAATTGAGCCGACTTACTGATGCAAACAACTTGAACCTCCGTGTTGACTTGGAAGATTTTGATGGAAATAAGAAGTATGCTACTTATCATTTTCGAGTATTCGATGCATCTTTCGAGTACAAGCTGTTAGCGTTTGCATATGGAGGTGATGCTGGAGATGGTCTGAGCATTCATAATGGATTGAGGTTCTCTACCAAGGATCGAGACAATGACATCTGGGCCACAGGAAGCTGTGCAACAACTTATGGTGGAGCTTGGTGGTATAAAGACTGTTATACTTCAAACCTCAATGGTCTCTATTTGATTGGATATAACTCAACAGAGAAAGGTGTCAATTGGCTTAAGTTCCCTACTAAGTACTACTCCCTAAAAACTAGTGAGATGAAAGTTAACCAGTATACGCCCACTGGAGAATGAACAATTCATTATCATTCATTAGTAGCAGTACACTGCAGTAGTTTAATATACATGTACATGTACATCTTCTATACATGCAGTGTAAAATATCTTAAATTTCAAGTAAACAGAAAAGTTTTTGATGATATTTTGAAATACTGGGAGGACAACTGAGTTTATTAATCTTTATCACTTGTTAAAATGTAGCGGGATACCATACACAGTGCAAGATGGCAGCCAGTATAATTTCAAGAAAATTAAATCTGCAAATAATTTTTGGGGGGAAAACTCTTAAGATTTATAGCCCTTAAAAATTTTGTTTTAAATGGTACATTGTACAGAGTGACAATGACTAAAGCAATACTTTTTAAGCACAAAATTATAATACATGTATGGGCATAGAATTTTTAAGATACCGTACAAGGTGATTTATTGGCGAGAGTAATATTGGGCAAATTTTCCTGTGGAAAGTTAATGGCAAATTTTATATTGGTGATTTTGTGCCACGTGTCATTGAGCATGCTCAATTTTAAACAAAATTGTGGACTTTATATTGGTGATTTCTTCATAGAATTGCCAATTGCCAATATTAATTCCTTACCAATAAATCATCTTGTGCAGTATTAATTTTATATAGCCACAAATTAACTAATCTGTGAAATTTTTAAATTTATAATACCACCACACCTTATAATTATCAAAGGCAAGTTTATACTATTACATCATGTTGCATTATTTGTGTGGGTGTATCAACCTTAAGACCCGTTGGTTCCTACTATGTCTTGTGGTAGTATCTTGTGTAAGACGTTAAAAGAAGAAAACATTTTGTATAGTAGTCGTATGTACATGAACATGCATTAATTTAACTAACACTTTAAGACCAGTCCCAAACACATGCATAGTAAATACATGTGTCATGTGTAATAGTGCAATATAATCTAATCATTAAGTATACCAGTAATGATTATAGTACAATAGTAGTCTAGTATAATGATAGTAAGTGAAAACAAAGACCTCTATTGTAATTGTAATAGTAATGAGATATTTTTACTTGAAATAGAAATGAGAACCACATACATCAGTGGTTTGCCTTTCCAGTCATTTTCTGTGAATTTTAAATTTGCTCAAAAATCAGGCTAAAGTCTCTGTATTATTATTATAGTACAGTGTCTTTGGACAAATTTTGCCAAAATGACAAAAAGAGAATTTTTTGTTTTACAATTGTTTCTGATACATATACATATTCTTATGTTGTGTAGAAAGTTTGAGGTGATTCCGATCAAGTCTGGATTTTTATTATTAGTAACGTTACTAAGTAGGATTCGCCCCACTTCAAAATGGCTGCCAAGACTTTTGCAGCCTTGCTATACT